CCCTATGCAGAATCCATCACCTCACATGTAAAAAACTCATTCCATTTCTTAGAGATTATAAAGAAACAAAACTTACAGCCCAGCGACTACTTGTGAGCTTCGATGTCATATACCTCTTCACCCAAGTGCCAATCAAAGAAGCCTTGACAGCTATCCAAAACAAATATAACCCCCCCAAACACATCCTAGATCTGACCAATCACTGCCTATCCAACACATACTTCATCTATAATGGACAAAAATACAAACAAATAGAAGGAGCACCCAAGGGATCACCCCTCTCACCTGTCATTGCAAACCTCTATATGGAACACTTTGAAACCCAAGCTCTAGAAAAATCTGAACACAAACCCAAACTCTGGCTCAGATACGTAGACGACACCTTCATAATCTGGCCACATGGGAAAGAAAACCTGGACAACTTCCTCATACACCTCAACAGCCTACACCCCAAAATACAGTTCACCATGGAAACAGAAGCTTCCCTTCCTGGATGTCTTAGTTTACAAGAAATCCAATGGCTCCCTAGGACACACCAGCTACTAGAAGAAAACACACACAAACCACTATCTGCATGCTTTCTCACACCACTACCCAGCACGGATCAACTCCGTAGCCAAGACACTCATCTCTAGAACAAAACGCTTAGCTGATGAACAACACCTAAAAACCGAACTACACACTCTCACTAATGTACTTACATCCAATGGATTCCAAAGAAATAAGATTACCAAACTAATCCAAAAAGAAACCCCCACTAAAATCCAAGATAGAGAACAAGAAAATGGCAAAGCCCTCCTCCCTTACATAAAAGGCACCACAGACAGAATCAGCAAGATCCTCCACAAACACAACATTAAGACAGCATTCTGCACAAACAGAAAAATATCCACCATCCTAAGAAACTCCAAAGACAAAATTGAGTTAGAAAATCAAGGAGTATACGAAATCCCATGCACCGCTTGTCCCACCACATACATCGGACAAATCAACAGAAGAATAAGTGCACACATTGAAGAACATAAGAACTCAGTCAAAAAAGAGGAACCAACTTCTTCCCTGGTCCAACACCTTAAAATCACAGGACATGAAATTGACTTTAAAAAGACCAAAACTATCGCCAAAACTGAACACTTTAATAACAGAATAATCAGAGAAGCCATCGAGATAGAAAAACGCCCACACAGCATGAACAAATGAGATGATACCTCTTGCCTACCAGCCATTTGGAAACCCGCCCTTATTGACAAATGAGTCCCTAACACGAAGAATGACACCAGACCCACCCTCACAAAAGCCACACAGGATGTCACCATCACTCGTCCACGCAAAAAGCAAACCCAAACCCACACCGATGATGAGGCATGACCACAAACCAGAAGCCAGACCACAGCTGCATCATTAGCCACTTTAAATGCCTCCAATCCATACATGAAGCAAACTTACACCCACCATGAAGATGAGGCACGACCACGAACATGAAGCCAAACAATAGCAATGCAGCTCACCATCTCACTCTCCGTGCAACTCAGACTAACCTGAGCACAACAAAGCCCCCACCCAAACAGAACACTCCCCCAACCAATCAGAGCACAGCCAAACCCCCCCATCCAATCAGAGCACAACCAACCCCCCATCCAATCAGAGCACAGCCAAGCTCCTCACCAATCAGAACACACCTCCATCCAATCAGAACACAGCCAAGCTCTCATCCAATCAGTTCATACCCCCACTGGCAGTTAAAAGGAAGGAACAGCTATGATCACACATTGCTCCTAGAAGCACGAAGCCGAAAACATCAGCCTGAAGCGTCGCCAAGACACTTCCAATTTGACGCAGGAGAAAACCCGAATAACCAAAGACCTACATATACATACCTATACATACATATACATACATATATACATATATATATATATACATATATATGTTTATATATATATATATATATATATATATATATATATATATATATACACATACATATACATATATATGTTTTCTGAGGTTTTCGCGGGTATTTGTATGTAGGTCTTTGGTTGTTCAGGTTTTCTCCCGCGTAAAATTGGAAGTGTCTTGGCGACGTTTCGACGAAGTCCCATTCGTCATCTTCAGGCTGGTGTTTTCAGCTTTGTGACCCAATCTTTTCCTTGATGCTATTTTTTTTCCTCTGGTGAGTAAAGTTCTCCATCACCCACACTTTCTAGTCAACCTCAACCATCACACTGATTACTTGATCCTTCTGATTTGCAGAAGGATCAAGTAACAGTGTGATGGTTGAGGTTGACTAGAAAGTGTGGATGATGGAGAACTTTACTCACCAGAGGAAAAAAAATAGCATCAAGGAAAAGATTGGGTCACAAAGCTGAAAACACCAGCCTGAAGATGACGAATGGGACTTCGTCGAAACGTCGCCAAGACACTTCCAATTTTACGCGGGAGAAAACCCGAAAAACCAAAGACCTACATATATATATATATATATATATATATATATATATATATATATATATATATATATATATTGGATTGCTAACAAAGAATTAAGGGAGAATGGAATAACTATTTCAAGCTAATTAGCTCTCATCAGCCAAACATACCTGGCCTGCTGTGTTAACCTCTAGGCCACAGGCCCTTTCTCACTTTGTTAGCTGTGTCAGAGGAAGAGACAGGGGAGGAGAATTACCTTGAGTGTTTTTTGATGCACCCTGTCAGCCCAAATATGGGAGAAAGAAATCTTTTGCCTGTATCAGCTCAATCTAGAGCCATCCACAGGCAGCAGTCGCAACTGGGACATCATTTATATTTTTAAAAAAATTTGGATTGCTAACAAAGAATTAAGGGAGAATGGAATAGCTATTTTGAGCTAATTAGCTCTCATCAGCCAAACATATCCTTCTGAGATTCGAACCTGGGCTGCTTGCACTTTAGGCAGCTGTGTTAACCTCTAAGCCACAGGCTCTTTCTCACTTTGTCAGCTGTGTCAGGGAGGGAAGAGACAGGGGAGGAGAATTACTTTGAGTGTTTTTTTGATGCATCCTGTCGGCCCAAATATGGGAGAAAGAAATCTTTTGCCTGTATCTGCTCAATCTAGAGCCATCCACAACTGACAAAGTGAGAAAGAGCCTGTGGCCTAGAGGTTAACACAGCTGCCTAAAGTGCAAGGAGCCCAGGTTCGAGACTTTATACCATTCCTGACAAACAGTTGTCCAATTTTTTCTTGAAAACATCCAGGGATGGAGCACCCACAACTCCAGGAGGCAAGCTATTCCATTGATTGATTGATTGATTTCTACTATTTACATGTTTTTAATGTTTTTTTTTATTTTGTTGTACCATAATATTAAAGTCAGCTATGAAGATTGTTTAATTGATTAATAAGGAGAGCGTTGTGGTATAGACACCTCATCTAGTATCATAAGAGGGAGGTGTCATCCCAGCCACTCAGTTTTCTGTCCTTTTTGTCAAAAGCAGACAATTCTATTAGTCTGTTTTTCAGAGTTGTTGTAAAGATTACTAAGTTTTAATCTTTCCAAAAAGTAATGGTTGCTTTCATTTTTGTTTTTTTCTCTGAAACTGCCATCTTCAGTCCAGAGGCTTCTGGTCCCAGAGCTACCAAGAAAAGTTCACTGTGTCAATTGGCCTCTTTTTTATTTTTAATGAAAGAGATGAGCAGGAAGAAAACTCAGAAATTGAAGACTATGTTGTTTTGAGTCCCTCTGCCTTCCTCTTTCCTTCTTTGGCAAAATATTGAGGAAAAAAAACAGTGCAGTAAATGCCTCGCCTGAAAGCATCTTTACAATCCAGATAGTGTCATTGACATAAATTGGAGCCCAATACCTTCCTGTGTTTCCCCAGTATCTTCTGCATTTTAGTATTAAATAAATACCTAAATAAATAATTTGTGTTTTTTTTCTAGTGGGGAAAGGAAATGCATGGACACTCCTTCCTGGGAATAGAAATGGTCAGAATAAAAATTAAGAGAAACAATTTAAAGAAAAGTTAAGGAAAAGCATATCGCTAATTTGCCACTTTCTATTTTTTATGCTCATTATCACTATTGTCATAGTGCACAATTGATGGGAATTAGTTGTTTAGAAATGGAGTTAGGCATATGGATGTTTGAAGCAAAGAACTCATTACACCCTTCCTTTTTTCAAAACAAAGATTCAAGGAATTTGCACCATTAAATATTTGTTCATAGTTCACATAAAGCAAGATCAGAGTATGATTGATTATGGAACCTCTTGCTTGGAAGACAGATATTCTTATTATAATAATAATAATAATATTCAAATTAATCACAATAAAATAATGTTTCCAATATTCCACTTACTGCATGAAAACTGTGCATGAACCAAACATTTATAGTAAGGCCATCTTTTTCTTACCTTCAGCCAAAATGGCACAGAAAATCATACAAACTATTTCTCCTAAACTCTCCATTCACAAGCTACTGCTGAAAGCAGGCGATGGGTAAGAAGTAATCCATTTATCAAATTTTTTTTACAATCACAAATAACTTTTTTATTTTAAGGTAGAAATATTCCTTTAGCTTTATTCGTGCTTTTGAAAACTTGAAAGCAGAATAGTAATGTTTGGCCCTGCACTAAGGCAATACTGCAAATAATCTGAGGACCTCTAGATATTCTGCACACAGGGTAGCAAATGGCAAGAGAAGCTGGCAAAGAAACAGCTTTGAAATGATAGTCCTAAAATATAAAGGAGCAACATTCTTAGAGCAAAGCACCCAAACTTAAAAAGACTTCCAAATCATATGCAAAGAATTTGCTTGATTGAAAATCACTTTGTGCTTTAGTGGATTTGAGAGAAGAGGGTGACTGTTGTTCCTTTCTATGCACATGCATGTGTGTGTACTGTATATGTGTGTATGTGTGTTCATTCTCTCCCTCCCTCCCTCCCTCCCTCCCTCCCTCCCTCTCTCTCCCTCTCTCTCCCTCTCTCTCTCTCTCTCTCTCTCTCTCTCTCTCTCTCTCCAGTGACACAGAGAACTGGTTCTGTGAATGTCCTCCTAGCTACTCTGGAAAATTATGTCAGTTTTCAAACTGTGAACAAAATCCATGTGGGAATGGAGCAACTTGTTTTCCTAAATCCAACCAAGACGTGGTATGCCTTTGTCCGTATGGAAGAACTGGAATTCTTTGTAACGATGGTAAGAGCAGTTATGAGTACTAATCCAGAGCCCCCCCCTTTCTTAGGAAACTGAAAGTGAGATGAAACCTATATGATCTGAATTCATCTTATTATGCTCCTATTTGAGATTAAAGTCATAATATTGGGATGTACAAAGCTCTAAAATGTTTTGTTACTGTTCCACATTGTTCCAACACCTCTGCCCTGTATCATGCCACTCTGGTGGGAGTAGACCAGTGGTGGCGAACCTATGGCACATGTACCAGAGGTGGCACTCAGAGCCCTCTCTGTGGGCACGCGTGCTGTCGCTCCAGTCCTAGGCCTTCAGCTGGGTTTTATAAAACCTTTTCACCGTGTACAAAAAAAAAAGGTTCAATCAATCAGTCAATTTCAACTTCTCGCGGAAAAAAAAATCTTGCAAAGTTGGAATTGATTGATTGAACTTTTTAGTCCCACCCAATCTGCCGTTACCACTGCAGCCACACCCACCCAATTGGCCATGCCCACCCAATGGGCCACATCCACCCGGCACTCGACAATCCATAAGTGGGTTTTGGGTTCCAGTTTGGGCACTCAGTCTCTAAAAGGTTCTCCATCACAGGAGTAGGCCATTTCTGAAGTAAAGCCTCTGAACTGGATGTAATCTAAATCTTTCCTCTGAAACAATGTGTCTGGGACACTTCAATTTCTTTCCAGTTTGCATTACTTACTTTGGAAAGCAACCAAAGTGCCAATGGAATGGCATTATCCATAGGAATTTGCACATGGTCCAGTAGAAAAATACAACATTCTAGAGTTCTCTGGAATATTTCATTTTTAAATATAGGTCAGTGGGTGTATGCATGTTTTCTGTTAATTAGTTTAGTATTACACACAAACAAACATTAGACTGTGTAAATCTTGAAATACAGATAGTACTCAACTTTCAGCCATTTGTTTATCAACTATCTGAAGATATAATGGCACTGAAAAAACTGACTTAAAACTGGTCCTCACACTTAAGATTGTCACACCATCCACATGGTCATGTGATCAGAATTCAGGCGCTTGGCAACCAGCATGTATTTCTGTTAGTTGCAATGTCCCAGAGTCATGTAATCACCATTTGCGAGCCAGCTTCTGACAAAGTCAGTGAGGAAAAGATGGCTTTGCTTAATAGTTGAATATTTTACTTAACTACTGCAGAGATTCACTTAACAACCATAGCATAATAAAACTGGGCATGACTCAACAACCGCCATGCTTAGCAGTGAAAATTCTGGTCCCAATCCTGGTCATAAGTTGAGGAATTACCTGAGGGTGCTTCATAATTTATGAGAATACAAAGCACATCTCTTCAAATTAATAAATATTACACAAGATTCTTGCAGCTACTTGGGAAGCTGCTGCTGGTTGTCTTTACATGATGTGTATGCACAGCCACATTGTTTCTCTGAAAAGAAGGAGAAGCAAAGTAGCCATGTGTGCACATAGAAGTGGTGGCTGTCAGGAATATCTTTCAAAGTTACCAACTTTGCAAAAGATATGGCCATTTTTAAAAATTTGAGGAAGGAAACGTTGTTCTTGTTCCCCCACACATTGCCAACATATTGAGAAATATAAGACCACTTGATCCTGGATGTTTTCAGATGCTGTTTCAACCCCTCTTACTAAGTTAGATAAGCTGGGCACCTTCCAGATCCCCTCTCTTAAAAGTTGCCATTTGATGAGATCTTGGATGCACAACCTTCTCAGTGGCTGCCCCAGCCATTTGGAACACCTTCTAGCTAAGATTTGAAGGATTCCTACCCTTTTAGCCTTCCAGAGGGCTGTGAAGACCTGACTCTTCCCCCAAGCATTGGGCTAGGATGGGGGATCAGCTGCAAAATGTTTAGTCTGGCACCTGGGGAGAAGGATAACTTTGCTTTTAACCATCTTTTTAGGGATTGTTGTGAGCCACCTAGAGTCATCATATAAGTGGCCATATATGTCCTATAAATAAATAAATAAATATGCAGCTGTGTCCAAAAAGACTAAGGTAGAACTATAAGAAATGAACTTTTCGGTAGTTCTCTAATATCTGGAACATTGCCTGGTCCCATGTAGTTCTTGTAATGTTCTTGTTTTCTCCCTTCCTCAATTCAAGACATCTCACAATGTTCCCAGCCAGAGAGCATACTGCTCTACTAATCAAAAATCACTCTTCCCTAACCGATCAATCTTCCTTAACAGATTTTCTGTGAAATGGTTAGAAAAATGAAAAGGAATAATTAATAGGAAAACATCCAGGGGAATTTAAGACAAACACGTTGAGGTTTGAGCCTGGTAAAATGTTGTGAATCAATGAATATGGTAGGATAATTTTTCCAGAAAAGCTGCAGCTGGCAATTACCATAAATTACAATTGTAAGCCTATCATATTTGGAGTGGAAAATTCTGGAAAATCACTAGCTAACAACAAAAATGAATTTCTTTCTTGTCATCTATTGGTCATCCAGAATTTTGCAGGCAAGATATGGTTGTGATATTCCATTATATTGAAAACAGGGAGTGCTGTTTCATATTTATTCATCAGAAGCTTGGGAGCTATAAAGAGTAAGGAGGGCTCAAGAAATCCCAATTCTCATTCCCAGCTGCTATGGTTTAAAAAGGAAGAAAATGTATATTTGAGTAAGGTCATTTTTTTAATGCCAGTTTTCTGCAAACAATTTTTTTTTTACAGCCATTAATATAACCTATCCTAGCTTCAGTGGGACAGATGCTTTTGGCTATACCTCATTCCTAGCATATTCAGCAATTCCAAACATCAGCCTGTGCTATGAATTCCACCTGAAATTTCAGCTGGCAAATCACAACTCATCACTACAAGACAATCTCATCTTTTTCACCGGTCAGAAGGGCCAAGGTAAGGATTTGGAATGTGTTTCCCGATAGAAGCTAGGAAATTATGATGGAATGTTTATCGTTTATCTGCCAGTAGCTGATCTTAGATGACTATATCAGCATGTGCATTCAAACTCAAAGTAAGGATCTTCACGTTTCCCTGTGTAATGGTACATGAGAATGACTTTGGGAGATGGGAGGGAGAACATCAGATCAGACATCCAGTACGGAAAATATAGTTTACAGAAGGAAAAGGACTGTGGGGAACATTTCAGAAGAGCTCCGCCATAATTTTTCTAAGAGTAAAAATGAATGGAAAAGGGAAATATTTCCAGCCTTGCAAGATTCTATTAATGTAACTTTACAATTAACATAGACTGCCTATTCCTGATTGTGCTTCTACCTCGAAAGTCTAACACCTGCTTGCTCAGTTCCTTACTGCACTTTCTCTTTGAGAATTGTCAGTTCCTCACTCTCCCTGTCAAGCATCACATATTTGTTTTTTCTATGAACATATGACACACTTAATGAATTACTGTGTTGCAGCAGGTCTACCGTAAGTTGTTTAGGATCTTGGATGTCCTTGCATGTCTCAGAGCTCTTCTTTCAGCTGTTCTTCAATTGGCTCTTGTGTTCACTTTTTCATTTCATGGTCTTGTTCTTTTCCAAGCTGTTTTTGTTAGCATTCCTTACCTTATCACTCCAGTCAGTTAGTTTCTCTGGCCAGTTATTACCTCCAGAGGGAGAAATTATTTGTTAATGGCCAAAAATTTAAAAAATGCTAATAGAAATAAGTATAAATAAAAAACTAAGAAGAGCCCTGGGTAAATGCTGCTGTTTCGTCCCTGTCTTGGCTCCTCCCTGTAATATTTATATTCTCATTATTATGTGATAATGAATGGAATGAATATTATTATAAGAACAATGAACAGAAATAAATATGCATTCATCTTTTCTAGTTTTCCAGTTTTGGTATATTATTATTATTACACAGAAAATGTGTAAATCCTGAACAATAATAAACCATATGTCTATCTGCGTACCTATATATTTACTTACTTAACTATCTTTTCTAAGACACCATTATGTGAAACATCAAATGATATATCTAGGGCTATAGAACATATCAGAATATAGAATACATTGCAATCCCTCTGCCAAAATCCAAAGGACCCCACAGAAGGGAGAGTCTCATCATCTCTTTCTTGCCTCCTGACCAACATCCACCAGCTTTCCTCTTAATTATTAAAAGGATTTAGCAGGCAACCAGCAGGCCAGGCTGAGATCCAATATTATTAGAATCACCCAAACATCTTGCTATGCCACCATAGCTGAGTAAATGTAGACTTCGTTCAGAATTATTCCACCATTTACTTTCTAATGTATTCTCTTTTGCTTACAATGCCCAGTTGATTGGCAGTATTAAATTGAGCTTAGATGATCTTCAATCACTAAGAAAGTTTTCACTTGTTTAGTACTTTGGTAGCAGTCTACCAAGGCTATAGAGTAGACTACACATGTCAAACTCGCAATGTCACATGACATCACGCAACATATCGGGATTGTTTTGCCATTGCCAGCAATGGGGTGGGCGCGGCTTCTGCATGACGTGTCTGGCCTGCAGGCCAGCAGTTTGACATCCCTTCTATAGACTAAACTAGAAAATTTAAAAAATCTAGTAAAAGACAGTAGAAACCCACTTTCGTTCTGCTGGTCACAAAACAATATGGCTGAATCTATCTATGAAATCATCAGAAATTGATCCCTCCTCATTTTTATAATGTAAATGAGTTCTCCTTCTCCAATTTAGCTTTTCCAATTATTAGTAAATTGTTATTTGGAAGGCTGTTTTCTGATATGGCAAGACAATCTTCACTATTGAGGACACTGACATTTTCTGAAAACAAAACCTTTCCAAATGGTAATGCAAATTCTTGGGATCTTCAGTAATTAAAGTACTATATAGATCAGTGGTTCTCAACCTGTGGGTCGGGACCCCATTTGGGGTCGAACGACCATTTCACGGGGGTCGCCAAACAAGGCTGTCTGCCATTTTCCCCCCTTTTCTTTGGCCACGCCCCTGGCACCCGGTGATGTATAAGTGGTTGGGGGGTCACCACAACATGGGGAACTGTATTATGGGGTCGCGGCATTAGAAAGGTTGAGAACCACTGATATAGATGGTATAGTGAGGGAAATAGGAAAGCCAAAAAGAAATATTCCTGAAATTTTTATTTTTAATGTATTTAATTAGATTTAAATGGTCACACATTTTGCTATAGTGGCTCTGGATGGGTTATAACAAATAAAAACACTATACAAATTTACAAGCAAAATATAAAACTGATAATGCCCACTGAGGTAAAACAACAAATTTAATAGAATTCAGTTCAATCTAGAAATGAGGACAAATTTCCTGACAGTGAGAATAATTAATCTGTGGATCGGCTTACGTTCAGAAGTTGTGGGTGCTCCATCACTGGAGGCTTTCAAAAAGAGACTGGACAGCTATTTATCCAGAAAGGCATAGGATCTCCTGATCAAGCAAACTAGAAGACCTCCAAAGTCCATCTCACCCTCCAAACTACCCTTATAGAATAGTAATTTTTTCCCTTTTATAAAGGGGAAAATGTTTATAAACATTCTTTAAACTAGTACATCATTTTCTTTCACTCTCTCTTAACACAATACTCTCAAATACATTTTAGTAACATTTTTCATACTTTAAAAATTACTTAAACATTATGTATGTGTGTGTGTGTGTGTCTGTGTGTGTGTGTATAATATTAAAATTTTATATATATAAAAATTATATGTATATATGTGTGTGTGTGTATATATATATATATATATATATATATATATATATATATATATATATATATATTACAATTTCAAATTTTGGATTAAGACTTTCTTTCAATTACAACTATTAAACAAAAAAAAAATCTAGATCAAGTTAACACATTAAGATTAAGTCACTCCTTCCAGCTTGTTTTCATGGAGTAGAATCTTTTTCTCCTCTGGAAAGTTTTTCAAGTAGTTATAAGCCTCCCCTTTTATCACCGATTTCTCAACCTTGTTGATGTTCTTAAAGAAAAAGTCCCAAATTTGTTTTTTTAAAAGTTATCAATTTTCTTGACATTCTTCTTTCAGTTGTGTTGAGAGATTTATATTTAAACAATCCTAATAAAAGTTAATGCCAGATTTGTATTCCAAATTTGCAATGAACAAAGTAGCATTTTCAATTACTTGTGAAGTTGCCTCAGTAGTTTGGTAACTTTCTACACATGTTTGCATCTCTAAAGTAATTTGAGAGGGGTTTTTTGTCATCCTTGGAACACAGTTGGTCAACAAATTGGTGGATTTTATTTAGAGATCTTTCAAATATATCTCTAATAATTTGCTCCTCCATCTTGACTCCCTCTTTGATCAGGATCAGAAAATATTAACCACTCAGAGCAAAGAAGACCAAGCTACAAGTTACTACAATAATAAACTAAAATCACAGCTTTCAGACTTTATGTTTCTCCATCAGCTTTTTTTTTTTTTTTTTTTTTTTTTTTTGCTCTTTCTTATTTTGGCTTGTCTTAGCAGCCTTCTTCCTTGTTGTTGTTTAACACTAAAGAAATCCCTAAAATGGTGCAGGACTTTCAAAAAGGGGTAGCAGGCTATGATTAAAGAAAGCCTCTTTTAACTTGATTTAGAAAAGATTAATAGTTCTTGAAGGTCATTAAGAAATAAAAGGCACAACTTACTGTCCGTTTGAAAAGTAAATTTCAAAATGGCAGCTTCTTCAACCACAAACAGATTACAGCCCCCCCCCCCCACTTTTGGCATGCAGATAGCTTCAAAGCCCAGGTCCAGAAACCGCTTGCAGGCTTTCAGGTGTATTGGAGAGTCTTGAGGGGAAATTCTTAGACTCCCCCTGATGTGAGTGCCAGTCTCTTCAGTTAGTAGCTGAAGAGTTACATTCCAAAGAAAAAACCCTTCAGGGATCCCTCTCTGAGAGTGTATTCAGTTGGCCATATTCATGGAATTTGATTTTCTGATGGACAGGAACTGCAACAGAAAGACTCACTTTCATGCAATGCAAACAAATTAGCCATAATAAGGTAATTCTGTCAAGCTAGCTTTATCACAATTACCTAAAGTGAAGTCTCTTTAATAGGTTCTTTGACAGTGATGAGACTGTTCTCATTCCAGGTGTTACTGGGGATGATTTCCTAGTGCTGGGCCTGCGAAATAGTAGCTTGGTATACAGTTACAACTTGGGATCTGGAATGGCAACTATTACTAGCGAGCCACTTGATCTGACACATCACATTCACACAGTCAGCCTTGGCAGATTTCTTAGAAACAGCTGGATGAAGGTAAGCCTTGCTTTAAAAAATCTTCATCTCACTACTAACTGTAGTTTCTATTGTAGCAAGAAGTAGAATTGTGGCTATCATGCTTTTGGGCTACTCCACAATGCTGCTATCGGGATAAAATGGGAAGAAGAAAAATGTAACTTTAATCTGACATTGATATGCTTTTAATCTGTCTGAGAGGCAGTATAGTGTAGTGGTTCAGGGTTAGATTTGCACCAGGAAGACCCAGATTCTTATCTGCAGGCATCTGCAGTTTTCTTTTAGCTTAACTTATTTCACATTGTTGTTATTGGGAGTGGAGGGGAATCAGAGGAGAGAGTATTATAGATACCAGCTTGAGTTCCTGTATGAAAGATGGAGGTATAAATATAATAAATAAATAAAGATCTATACATTCCATCCTGAATTCCTTTGAAGAATGTGAAAAATAAATAACAATGAGTTTCACTTAGATATACACAGAAATGCATAGCAGGTGCCCAGTTTTAAGAGATAAATCAATCACAGTGAATTTTGCTTGGTTATGATATAGTACCTTATGTACTGCATTGTATTTTTCAATAAATTATGGTTAAGATGAATCTTGATTTAGTGTGTTGCATAAAACCAGTAATGAGAATTTACCAAAGGTTTTGTGCAAAGATTTGCAATAAACTGAACAAAAGCCCCCCCTTCCAAAAGCATATTTCATTTTTCATTTGCTACCTCCCTACCACCACAACTTCCATCCCATTTTTATAAATTGCTCCTGAAATTTTAGGGAAGACTGAGAAATAATGGATGCAAAAGTTTCTGCAAAATATGGAAACACAAGCAAAAAGTCTGAATATCTGCCCTTTTAATCAGAATCCAGGAAATTAAAATTTTTCCAATTATTTTCAAATGAATTACAAGCTAAAGGAATTTCCTCCTCTGATAATGTATATGAATACTTTTATTTATTTATTTTAGCATTGTGATGAGAAATAATATGTTTAGTTGCTCATGAATTGCATATTTTTGTTTCTTTGAAAGGTGGACAATCAAAAAAACAAAACTATTACATCACCAGGAAAGTTGACGGGACTCAATGTTTTTAGTCAGTTTTATGTAGGAGGTTATATTGAATATATTCCAGAATTCTTACCCAAAGGATCCACTTTTAAGAATGGCTTTCAAGGTAAATAACAACGTTATTGCCTTTGTGTATCAAGTCATTGTATTTATAGTAATACTTTTTAATGGAAGAACTGGTTTTCTACTAAACATAGAGGGCTCAAGGTCTGAGCTTTATGTGGACATTAGCTAAGTCTAAAACAGGCATAGCAAAATTTCTCACAGATGTCAATTGGTGAAAAAAGAAAAGCACTATAACATAGACATCTGAAGCAATAAAAAGATTTGTAAATATGGTTGAATAGCACTACAGCAGAACACATAAATCTCAAAAACAGTTCTGAGGGCCCCAAATAAATTCTCTCTGGAATAAAATAAAATAAGGTCACTGCTGCAAAGACAAAATTAAGAATATCATTGAGCAGGAGACAGTGTGGAGCCTGTAAGGAAATCAGAATGCCTGGAAGGGGATGAGATAGTTATCCCTAAAGAGTTCAGAGGAACAAAACATATAGTTGGGGAAAGGATATAAATCAAAGAGTGTCTGAATTAGGGTTGAACTCAGGAAATCTTGGTGCTCTCAGAGCTCGGTTGTTTGCTTGCAGACATTTCATTACACTTGCACTGATGATATTGCCTAGCTAGGTAATAAAACATCTGCAAACCAGCTACCTAGCTCAGAGAGCACCCCAAACTCCAAAGACATAAAGGCTGATGGAGACAGATACAGAAGGAAAGGAAGAGGAGAAGCAGAAGTGTGCTGGAAGTAAAGGGTAAGAAAAAGAGAAAGAAAGAGAAATGGGCAACCTAAAAAGATAAAAAAGAGTCAGACATTTCAAGTAGGAAAAGCAGATTGCTTGAATCTAAGGCACGGGTGTCAAACTCTCCATATCACGTGATATGTCGTGACACATTGTGACTTTTTTTGCATTGCTGGAGCTGGGGTGGACACGGCATCCATATGATGCAACTGGCCTGTGGGCCGGCAGTTTGACACCCCTGGTCTAAGGACAAGATTTACAGTAAGGGAGAGGCCAAAGAACTGCTAAGGGAAGAAAAGAAGACACAAGGCTTGTGGAGTGTGAGGGGGAGGCCATCTCAAGAATGAAGAGTGTCTAGTAGATATCAACAAGGAAAAGAGCAAGGCTGAGAGGAAGAGCTGCGCTCAGTGTATGTTACCTGGGAGGGAATAGTGGTTGGCTGAGTCAGGAGGAAGTTCTGGAAGAATGGAGTAGCCAAAAGGAAGACTTTTGTAAGGCAGAAAGAGTTTATAAAGGGGGTGAAGAAGAGCTGAGGTCTGGTTGTTGGTGAAGGAGGTAGGGAGACTGCTCAGATCTCTGGCCCATCCTCTTAGGATTGAGGGTTTTATTCAAACTGAGCTCTAGTATTCTTTAAAGTGGTTCTTGTATCTGTGTATCTGTGTAATGCTGCCTGTACACTATATGTGAATATGTATGGGTTCTGGGTTCTGAATGTAAGAAGTAAAGTAAATCTGTTCTGCTCTTTAGAACCAGGGGTTTATTTTCCTCATTTGATTTGTGCAGGTAAAAGCAAAACTACCGTTTAGAGAGCCCTTCTGTTGGTTGACAGCAGGCTTCTTTATAGTGAATTGGAGAGAATTTTTGGGAAGCTGCAGAGGGCCTGCTTTAGAGGCTCCCTGGGGAATTAGCTTTTTCGACACTGGAGGTAGCTATTGTGTGAAAAAAACAGGGCTCCCCAGGACCCACGCCAACAATACAGCATATAAATATCAAAAAAAAAAAAAAAGGTTTTCTACACATAGAGAACAATCAAGGCCAACAGCCCAATCCCACTCACTTGAAATCCCTTAAAGTTCCAGCAGCTTTGCTCTCAAGCAAGAGGATATAGAACTGAGGCCTTATATTTATTTATGTTAAGTAGCTTGCTCAGAAATTAAAAACTGTGACTTAATCCCTCTTTCCTGACGGTTTAAAAAGAAATCTTTTCCACACTTACCATTTAAGCTGATTTGGTCCTAAACTCAGGAAGGCTTGATTTAGGATTTAAGAAAATCCTCTCCAGACTGAGACACCTTGTCAACTGCTCACAAAAATGTTCAATCCAGACCATGGGCTACCGTCTCCTCCCATTGAACATCTCCCTGTCTTTGTGTTTGTTCATGCACATGTATGGCTACAGAGACATACACAGTTCACTTGCATTTATATTTGCAGAATTAAACACATCAACATTTACATACATGCAGCACAGCCAGCAGATTCAAAAAAGAACTTCCTTTCTTACTATCCTGCTTCTTTCTAGTGTCTTTGGATAATGACAACAACACAGATAGATTTTCCCCATGGTGATCTGTCCCTAAACTGGTCCGTCGATTCTTCCAATGCTGCATTCATCACTGCTGTAACTGAATCCATCCATCTTGCTGCTCTTCATTTTACATTCCATGTTCTTATGGCAATTCTGTCTTTTTGGCTTTGGGTTTTCTTTAAGTGTCTCATAACAGAAGATTTCTAGTTTGAAACCTGGCAGAAAGCTTACTTTCTTGCCCTCAGTATCCTATTTTCTCTGAGCTTTCTTTACAAAAAGCAAAAACAAACTTCAGTGACCCACTCAAAAAATAGCATTATATATTTTCTAAATTATGACAGATTGAAGATAAAGATAGTTTGAAATCAAGGACGGAAGCCTCATTTTCCTTCATTGGAAAGGATGTGTTTGTTTAAATCATGACTTTTTCCTCATTAAAATGCACACTAACAATTACCTAGGGATTAAACTGAAGGCAGACAGGGTGAGGATTGCCATTTTGGCAGCAATGAACTTTTAAGTTAATGTGTTGTTGGAACTTCAAGCAGTTACGAGTGACCAGACAGATTTTTGTAAGTTTAAAATAAGAAACCAAGTAAACTCTAGATCACCATGAGAAAATGTACTATTGAACTTGACCTGACCACAGTGCTGAACGTTCATAAATATTTTTTATTGTTTTAAACAAAGAATTTTCCTTTCTTTTAGGTTGCATTTTTGACCTCAAAGTCCGGGCTGGAAAGGATCAGGAGTTTAAAGTGCCAGGAATTCCAGAAGGCCATCCTAATACTGGTCGCAATGTAGGACAATGTGCAGTGTCTCCGTGCCAACTCATAACATGCAGAAATGGGGGGACATGCATGGAAAGTGGCTCTGCGGTGTAGTAAGTAAAGTGTAACACTTTTAATGAACTACTGCATGGGAATGCATTGACACTACGCAGATTGTCATATGGTTCTATCAGAGCTCATATATTTGCTTAGGAACAGATGTATAATCTTCTTTAGAATCACCTTGCAAGATGCACATGCAGTTCTCCTTTCCATGCTATAGTTCTTATATACTTTTTTCCTTATTCTTAGTAGCATAAATATCCATTTCAGGAACAATCTGAAGTGAATATCATACTGGGGTAGCAAATAGAGCAGTGAAGTCTGCCTCATTCAGTAATATCTACCCCAAGGCTAGAAATTATTTGCAGGTTGAGGGCCATGTCTGTTTTTTCTTTGGCTTTCTGGACAGGACTAGGATGAGCACTAAATTTAATTTAAATGTAATTGCATGAATTAAATACAATTGTTCAATTACTTCCCATGTATTTCCTCTTCCATCAGATTAAAAGTGACAGTTCAGGATCTGTAATGTCATTTGGGAATGATTTTGGGAGATAAGAGAAGAAGTGCTGCCTAGGGAGCAGTCAGATAAGAGAGGACATAGCCCACAGCTGCACAATGGGCAGAAAAAGAAGTTTAGAAGGGATTTCTCCACTTCCTTTTCAAGCTGTAAAAGAGACAGCAGGAGATTTGTACTTTCAGACCAGCAAGACTCTATTCATGTAGCCTTACAATTATATAGAATCCTGTTTCCTGTTTGTGCTACCTGGGAGGCTGACATCAGTCTTGCAATGTCTGAACATTAAGGGACACCCTATTACGCCATTTCTAAAATTAGGGGGGGGGGAATGGAACACAAAAGAACAATATTTTGGTGACAGAAGGCTTCACATGCCTTTCTTTTGGTAAATTATTTTGAGGATGGAGAGGACTGCAGTACACTGGCAATTACTCAGAATGAGTGGGGCTCTATCAAAAATATGAATTGGTTAAGGGTGGGTTTGGGAAGCAGCCAAGATTTTCTTTATATAGAAATGTGCATTAAGCCAACATCAAGTTTTAAAATATAACTGTTCTATATATCTTGCCTCAAAATGTTCAAAGTGAGACCTCCTGGTTTCTCTGCTTCAGAATGCTTTAAGAAGCTACCTTCCGTATTGACACAGAATGTAACTAAGTCATGTGCTGAAGTTTCCTCTGGTTTCCTCTTTTGCACCTCCCAGCTGTCATTGCTCTGCTGGTTGGACAGGGGCTTTCTGCACAGAAAAAATGTCAGAGTGTGATCCTGAGCACCAACCCCCCCATCAGTGCAAGCGAGGTTCCACCTGCGTCTCTGTGCCTGATGGATACAACTGCCACTGTGCTTTGGGAACCACCGGCACACACTGTGAACAAGGTAGGGTACAAACCTCCTTCAAAAGTGTATCACATGGTATCACCGGTTTCTTTTTATTCTGTGGTTGGGTGTGAAATGCACATTGAAATCATAGTGGTTTTTTTTAAAAAAAATTGAAGATATCAAAGACTTTTTGATATTAAAAAAAAGTTCTGTTTTACTGCAATCACAAAACTGCATCTCACCTATTTTGACCATGTCATGTGGGAAATTCAGTGGAGAAAGCAATTATGTTTAAAAGAGGTAGCAGTAAAAGGAAACCAGGCAGCCAAAGAAACGGTGGCTGGACACTGTCAAAGCTGACACCAGCCAGAACATAGAAAAACTCAAAGAAATAGTGCAAGATCGGAAGATGTGGCCCATAGACTCGCCAAGAGTCAGACATGACTGAATGGATAACATCATCATTATCAATACCTAGCAGGCTATTAAATCCAAACTGAACATGCAACACTACAGCCATCTCTTAAAGTGGATCTCTAAAGCAAGAGAAGGTTTTATTTAAGTACAAAAAGAGACAGGATGGTATGTTGTTGAATCATCTCTAAACTCTCCACTTATCATTCCACAGCTCCCACCCAACAATTACCAATCATGATGAGTCTCCTTCCTGGTTTGGGAGCATATCTTGAGGGAACCCTGTAGGGAGATAAGCCACAATGGGAAAACCCCTTTATACAGCAGTGGCTTTGATTTAATCACACAACATTCATTGGTGAATTGCCAGCTAGGCTGGAGGAAGGGGTCAAGTGAGAGCCTAGCATGGAATCATTGTGCAGCCACAAATGGCATAAGTTTGACCATATCTGATTTTTCCCAGGGGAAGGCAAGCAGTCTGGTGAGATTCTTGTAATGTAGGTGATAAACAATAAAGTTACTGACTAAGGCTAGTCATGAGTGGCTCTGGCTGCTTATGTCTGACAATATAAAAAACATAATCAGCAGCAGAATCCAGTCAGTATTTCATGTTCGGCACAACCATTGAAGTAGCTCTCCACTATAAATGATCACCAAGCAAAATGGCAGAGCCATGTTTTCAATGCCTTTCTTTGGTCAGTACGATTGGTGCTAATCTAAGCTCTGGAGGAGTGATGTTCCAAAGGGTGGGAGCTGTGCAGCAAAGCTCCCCTTCCTCAATCCCATCAGATGACACTCCTACCTAAACAAGACCTACAACATGTCTCTCCTGATGGGGGAGTAGATCTAACCAGGGAGTGGCTATCTGCTGGTTCCATGCTACACAGGCCCTTATTAGTCATAACCAGCACCTAGAATTAAACCTAGAAGCATACTGGTATACAGAAGCAGAGGTATAATATGCACTGATCCAGAAGCACGCATGTTGTGCTACTGTATTTTGCACCAACTGCAGCTTCTGGATGCTCTCCAAGACCATCCCCATTTAGCTATGAAATTCTTGTCTAATAGCTGATGCTCATAACCATTACGCCACTCTTATTAAAATACAATTAAATCACTCTAATTATAGTTACTGACACAACGCCTCACATCTAGCAATTGATATTTAGATGTGCTTTTGTGCTTGCTTTGGCTTTCAAAGTTGTTTTACTCTGTGGACATGAAATAAGAATCAGCCATGTCTAATACATTATTAGACAATTACTGAATCAGCACTTAACATCCTTAATGAGTGGCATTGTATTCCTTACGTGATGTGCTATAAATGATCCCTTTCTGATCCATATAAGAACTGCAACTGCAGAGAGGAAAATATAATCTCCTAAAGTTCTTCTTTAATACTTCTTCCCCCAGTGAATAAAAGTGAGGATGGCATAAATTGCAACAAACTTGAGGATTTGTAATGAAAAAGTCCACTGCTGCTGTCTCAAAATCTTGGATTTCAACTTTCCCTAACACCTAGCAGCATAACGAACTGTCACTTTTTTTTTCAAAGTATGATTTTCCTAGTGTGGGCTAAGAAGAAAGAAAGCATCTTAGAAACAATCAGACTAAATATTTGATTTTTAGGTACAAAATCAGGGAGCAAAGAAGTAAAGAGTGTCTCAGTAGAGCAGGAAATAAACCAAGGAGTCATGAAAAGTAATAACTATTGAGGAAGAAAGGAAAGGAAACATTAAAAAAATAACTGAGAATTTATGACGCATGTAGGTTAGTAGAAAAGAAACAACAAAACAGAGAGAACATCAATATAGTTTAGAACAGTGGTTCTCAACCTTTTTAATGCCGCGACCCCCAACCGGTCGTAAGTCAAGGACTACTCAACTGGTGCAGCACCGTTTGCAGAATGGGACTTTTGGCGGGCTCAGCAGGGCAGAGACAGCCTGGACAATTCCTATTGGCTTTGGAAAGCCAATAGAATTAGACTCTATTCAAGAGAGTCTATTCTATTGGCTTTCAAAAGAATAAAATAGAATAAAAGGGAGTAGCACAGCTAAGGAAAAGGGGGAAAAAATGGCGGACTGTGTTGTTTGGCGACCCCTGTGAAAGGGTCGTTCGACCCCAAATGGGGTCCCGACCCACAGGTTGAGAACCACTGGTTTAGAAAGATACTTCATGGCACATTGTTTAGAGTTTATACAACTGGAAGAAGTGACTTAGTGTATGGTAGGACTGAACTTTTTGCAGCCATTATTTGTAGAATATAATAGGCAGCAATTATGAAAACAGTGATTTCTTCTCCTTTCCAGAGGCCACAGCATAGCTTCAATCAAAGGTGAAACAGGTTATCCAGCCATGTTTATGTAACAGTTGGATGCAAAAGCCATACCAATAGAAGTGCACCATTATAAATAATAACACACTTGTATGGCAATTCCCCATTCTTGGAAAAATGAACACGAGAAGCATTTGGCATGAACTAAGCCTGGCTGCTTTACTCACTAGTGGAAAGTGATTAGTGCTCTGAGCTTTATCAGAACGCATATGGATTAAAGCCTATTAGTTTGCAATTTACAGATATGATTCTCCTATTTATCAGGAAGAGCCGGTTAGGTCTAGTGATTAAGGCACCAGGCTTGAAACCATGAGATTGTGTCTTCTAGTCTGGCCTTAGGCACGAAAGCTGGCTGGGTGACTTTGGGCCAGTTACGGGTAGCCCTCGACTTATAACTATTCGTTTAGTGACCATTTGAAGTTACGGCAGCCCAGAAAAAAGTGGCCGATGACCATTTTTCACATTACCATTGGAGCATCCCCCTGGTCACATGATGAAAATCTGGATACTTGGCAACTGGCACGTATTTCTAATGGTTGCCGTGTCCCTGGGTCCCTTTGCAAAAAGCAAAGTCAATGGGGAAGGCAGATTCACTTAACAGTCATGTTACTAACTTAACAGCTGCAGTGATTCACTTAACAATTGTGGCCAAAAAGATCATAAAATGGGACAAAGGTTACTTAACATCTGTCTCGCTTAGTAATGGAAATTTGGGGCTAAATTGTGATTTTAAGTTGAGAACTACCTCTATTTCCCCACAGCTCACAACATTAGGCTCAGGCAACCGGCTGGTAAGTCAATTCCTGTCACAACCAATGAGTCAAGGCTCAGTGTATTTGAAAAACCACAGAAGCACTTTGCACAGGGCAGGAGATTGTGCCTGAGTGATGCTGTGACAGTTGTAAAAGTAGGCTGGTTGCCAAGAGCCCAAATTTTGATCATAGGAATACTGAGATGGTCGGAATTGCAAAGACCAATCCCTTTGGCTTCAGTGCCATCATAATTTAAAACTGAATGAATGGAAATGGCCCAAGGACTACTTGTATTAACTTTCTATAGATGCTTGCTGCTTTAACTGCTGTCGCTATTCTCTGTCCTAGTGCTGTAACAACATCCAAAAAAAAAGTCTCATTAGAAACCCTGTATGCAGAACGGGTGGCTTCCCAGCCGTCATGGACCTTAACAGGTGACCTGATTATATTCAAAGAGCTCAGGCTCCCCAGGGCTCATATATTTCCCAGGATTGATTATGCTTGATACAATTTCACTGTAAGGTGTCTAAGGAAAGCAAACAGTCTTGACCTTCTTGTCTATTATGAAGCCTGATAAATGAAAAGAGATGGAGAGAAACCTGGAAACCCGCTTTCCACAACTCAAATTAAGACTCAAACAACTATAATTGTCATGTAAAATGAAGGAAGCCTTATAAGGCTGGTAGCTGAAAAATAATCAAGAAGTTGCAGCACCAAGTGTGTTTACCATAAAGTTAAATTAACTGCTCTTCAAGGCAGTAAATAAAGCATAGTCAGCTAGTTTAAACAGAATAAATGTTGATATCATTAGTTTGGGAAATAGAAGTATAACAAAGTAAAGTGCATAGGAATCTAAAATAAATTGATAAAAAGAAAGACTATTTAATGATTCTGTACATAGAAGATATATTAGACTACTATAATGAAAGATAATCTGTAGATGGCAGCATAGGATAGCAGTTTGTTTTACCAATGGCATTGATTGAACTTTACTTTTACTGGCTCTGTGCTTATAAATAGTGAAGTTGGCAAATGACTGCTCAGGCACTAGAGATAACTGAAGAAATGTTAATAAAAAAAGAGATCTGCCTATCTAATCAGCATTCTGGTACCCCCCATGACTGGCATGGTAGAGGAACAGTACATTCCAAAAAGTGGGTGGACATGGATGGAGCAGGATTAAAAACTATCATTGCCTATATTGCTGTAACACTGTAATAATGCTGTAATGACTGTAATCATATTACATTTATTACATGATGTAATAATATTACATTTTATTACGTTAGAAATGATGCTTCATTTGTACCAAAGGTTGGGAGGGTGCGTAGTTTGTGCGTTCCTGGCTCGTGAGAAACCCATCAGCAGGATTTCTTTGCTATCTGCTATGTCATTCTCATGGCTGGGAACTCCCAAGTTATCCTGTCCCAGCAATGCTCATATTTGTCATCTCCAAGTCAGGATGTAGTGAGCCTTGGGCTGCTGTTTTTGTTGGCAAAACTTTCACTGGGCTCTAAATGCACAGGATATTAAGGAGGGCTGGAATGAGGTAT